TAAAGTTTATAACTTTATGGTTTATGACGTCTTTAAGGCATGGATCTATGTTCTAGATGTAAGGACTTAACTGATTAAGTCACAATGAAGCTTCTAAGGTGGCTGACCAATATGTTGGGCGTAACCCTGGTACGCTGCGCGTACTGGGTCAACCTCTCGTATCTGGTCAAGTCTAGTGTACGCTTGCATACGTGCCAAGTACGCCGCGCGTACGTATGCAGTGGGTTAAATGTGGTTTTGGGGCCTTAGGATTTTAGGCTTGGATTTGTTGGGCCTCAATCCCACCTGTGGATTATGGCCTCTGGCCTAGGTTTAGGATTTATGGTATTGGGCCTTATTAGGCCTTAAAGCTTAGTTGGATGGACTTGGACATTTTAACTTGAAATTTTGGCCTTGGAAGGAAGAGGCCCAATAGGGTAGAGATTAGAGAACATTTACCTTATTTCATGAATCAAGGTTTGGGCCTTGGGGACAGGTTTAGATCTAATGTCTAATTAGGAAGTTTGTTGTGCTATAGGGAGAGGAGTTTCGAGTCGTCCAAGGGGTGCGATTTGACATTTGTAGTTAAGGTGAGTCTCCTTTCGTGAATGTTGTAGGTCGAAGGCACCAAGGTCGACCCTTCATTTATTGTATAGTATGATGGTTGTTTGTGTGATAATTATCATTGTTCGCATATTGCTTGATGATCATGTGATTTATGTGTGTTATTATATAGTAGTGGTAGGGGTGAAATAGACTTGGTATCCAGTTGGAATAGATCGAAAGGGAATGTTGAGCACCGATATATGCTCAACATTATCTAGTTGAAATAGACCGAAGGGATAGGCCGAGCACCCAGATATGTTCGGCAGTATCCGGTTGAAATTGACCGAAGGGGTAGGCCGACACCCCGATATGCTTGCTAGTATGTTTATTATTGGTTTGTGGTATGGTCGGGAAACTCACTAAGCTTTGTGCTTACTATTTTAGTTTGTGTTTCAGGAACTTCCATCTCAAAGAGGAAGGAGTCGGTTTGATCGCGTCGCATCACACTATGATTTTCTGCAGTAAAGATTTTGGGACTTATGCTTTAATAATATTTTTCCACGAATTGTCATGACCATACACTATAACTATCTTGTGTTTCGTGATTTTGAAATCAATGATGTCTTATGTTTGTGCTTTTGGTAAACTTAAAAATAATTGAAATTTTTTAGTCGTATTTCCAGGATGTTACAAGTTCTTACGTATATAATTATAAAAATACCAAAAAGTATTATATTATAATTAAAAAATAATATTCAATATCAAAAATTAAAAGCAAAATATTATTTAATATTTATTAAAATAAATGAATTACTTAATAAACAACAAAGATTAAAAGTTTAATTATAATTAGAGAGTAAAATGAATATCATTTTAAAGGATGTTAGTTGTATAAAATACAAACTCAAAAAACATTTAATTCATATTGAGTTGTTGAATTATTCCACTAAAAATGCATTATATTCGATGGTAAAATGCTAGTTTTGAGACCGATTCTAAATATTCAATGTTTTCATCGACATCTCATTGTGGATGTTCTAAATAGAAAAATGAAGATGTGATTGAACACTACCCTTAAAAAATGAAAGCATTGTTGTGTGATAGGAGAAAATCGATGAAAAAATCCATTCCAAAAACTTAACGGAAAATTAAACACCCCCTTTATATATGCTGCATATAATATATTTCCTAATCGGTCACATATTCACTTCACTTCTTTTGTTTAACCACCCCTTTAGCCCATGCTAGTTGTTGCAAATAAATTGGCTATAAACATTTTGGTGCACGGTATGCGATGAGTGTGGCTAAATGATTTTTGGCATTTTAGGCGTTGCATGATATTTACCATCAAACCATACAATTTATTATAATGGGTTGAAATATTACGAATTACCAGTTTATCACATTTTTTGGGATTTCACATCGATTTGGGATAAAATGGTTTTGTATTTGTATTTGCAGTTTTTGGGAATTTGTATATAAATGGTTTCATGGCTATCCAAATGTAGAGATCCTTTACATATTTCCCATGTTTAGGTTATTATTACCATAAGTTAAGGACATGTGTTAATTGCTTACTATAATTTGTCATCGATGTGTCTATTAAATTTACGTTAGGGTATGTTTTTGTCCATTATGTCATCGCCAACCTTAACATTTGATTCTTTTTTCTTCGGGATAATGACTTAGGAGGGTAAGTACCTCTTATCTGTGTTCACATATTAACAACTTCTTCTTTTTTGTACATAATAAAACAACTAATTTGTTTTAACTGTTTAAATTATACCAATATTACCGGCTAATACATGTTTTAACCGGTAACTCAAAGGGAAAATGACTACGGAGGGTAACTACCTCTTATCCGTGTTCACATATTGTCAACTTCTTAATTTTTTGTACATAAGAAAGAAACTAACTTGTTTTAACTGTGTAACATCCTAAAAATCATGACCAAAAATTTTGTTTTTAATTTAATACTAAAACCATAATTGTCAAACCATTAATTTAATACTCCAGCATCGTGCCTCGCCCGACATCAAGCCCCGCCTGGCATTGAGCTCCGCTCGGTATACAGATTTGTCTCTCTTAGGCTCTGTCTGTCTCCGGGCCCCGCCCGCTAAACACATACAATCATCTAACATGTTAACACATAAAGAAACATATTTTACTGTATCCCTGTCTTAAGAAACATACTCTGCTAATAATGAGATACAGAACTTCATTCGTACTCAGCTAGTTCCAGTCAGGGCTTCAGCAGTTCAAGGTGAGTCTCCTCACTATGTGAATGGGTCTAAGGCCATAATGCCAGCCCATGTAGTCTATGAGTAGGAAGACTCGAGGGTTAACCATAAGCATTGTTTGCTAGTATGTTATTCCAGACCAAGGTCTGATGTCGGACAGGTGCCTAATGAATGTTTTCATGTTAGATTATACTTGTTGTATGTGTGATACTTGTATGTGCCTGGTAAAGAGGTGAGTGTGGGCGAGCTCCCGTATCTCATCACTAGCTGAGTACGAACGATGTTTTGTATCTCATTATTACCAGAGTATGTTTCTTAGGACAGGGATATAGTAGAGTATGTTTCTTTATGCGTTAGCATGTTATAGGGTTGTATGTATTTAGCGGGCGGGCCCCGGAGACAGGCGGGGCCTAAGAGAGACATATATGTATACCGAGCGGGGCTCGATGCCAGGTGGGGCCTGATGTCGGGCGGAGCCTGATGCCGGAGTATTAAATTAATGGTTTGACAATTATGGTTTTAGTATTAAATTAAAAAGAAATTTTTTGGTCATGATTTTTGGGATGTTACACAGTTAAAATAAGTTAGTTGCTTTTTATGAACAAAAAAATAAGAAGTTGTCAATACGTGAACATGGATAAGAGGTAGTTACCCTCCTAAGTCATTTTCCCTTTGAGTTACCGGTTAAAACAAATATTAGCCGGTAATATTGGTGTAATTTAAACAGTTAAAACAAGTTAGTTACTTTATTATATATAAAAAAGAAGAAATTGCTAATATGTAAACACGGATAAGAGGTAGTTACCCTCTTAAATCATTTTCCCTTTTTCTTCTAATGGTTCAAAAATTTTCTCATTTTCTTATTAAATTAGAAGTCTCTTGATAGAAAGTGCTTGGATTGTTGACTAAGATAATTATTTCTTTAGCCAAATTCCATTCTTGTATAATGATATGCTACTTCTTAACATGTTTCTCCATTGTCCATGTAATGCCCATTGACCCTACAAAAGGGGCAACCCTTTGATCTAAGTTATTTGTCTTGTTCAGTTGTTCGCAATCAAACTAGCCAGAAGCCACATACAAAAGTGTACTCCACATAAAATTTATTCTATAAATATTATGGTTTAAATCTTATAACATCTATGTAAATTCCAGTTACACCAAATAGTTAACTAACACAAAACTATCAAACAAAATTTACCCATATAAGATGAGAAAATTGATTTGTATTTAAATATCAATGTCATAACTAGGTAAATAATATTGTAATAAATGGAAATAAAAGTATAATATTATAATATACTATAAATAAATAGAAGTTCGTTGCTAATTTTTGCATTCAACCTATTTAACTTGGGTAGCAAATGTCATAAGTACTTAAATGTTTTGGTTGATTTTGTCATCTTGATAACTTGTGATACAAGATGATCTAGAAGGTTCTTTGATTTTTTTTTAATAATTACTTTTCTAATGTAATTTAACTAAATAAAGTTCAATACATATCAAATATGTATTGTTATTTTTTATATAATCAATTAAAATTTCTTCTTAAGTAACATTCGGCAAAATCATTACTAAATTGCACAAGATACTTAAGAAAATTCGTCAAAAATCAACGAATCAACAATTTTATCAAATATGTTAGTAAAAAACAAAAATGCAATTTTAGTTGGTTTTTTTTTTAGGGTTTAGGTCATTTTTGGTCACTTAATTTTTGGTTTTCTACTCATTTGGTCACTTAACTATTTTTAAGTTTTAAAAGGTCATCAAACTTTTGATTTTGTGATCATTTAGTCACTTAACTTTTGGTTTGGTCACATTTAGTCACCTAACTTTTAGATTTGTACTCATTTAGTCACCTAACTTTTAAAATTATGCTCATTTAGTCAATAAACTTATAAAAAAAATTAAAAGTTTAGTGACTAAATGAACACAATTTTAAAAGTTAGGTGACTAAATGTGACAAAACAAAAATTAAGTGACTAAATGAGCATAAAGTCAAAAATTCGATGACCTTTTAAAGCTTAAAAAGAGTTAAGTGACCAAATGAACACAAAACTAAAAGTTAAGTGATCAAAAATATCCTAAACCCCTTTTTTTAATACACGTTGTTGAACGATAAAAACTGGAATAGTTTAAGGGTAACTTTGATACTAACTCATAGTGCAGGGACTAAATGTATAATTTATCCAACGGATAAACTGTCACCATGCCCCAGCCACGGGTTTTGCAGAAGAAAGTGCAAATAATGAATGCTCTGCTTCTCCCTCCACCGTCCGCCACCACCGCTCGCTTCCTCCGCGGCCTCAATTTCTCTCAACCATCACTCTCCACCTCCTCTTATAAGCACTCTCCTCTCCGTTCATCCGTCACCTCACTCTCCTTATCGGAAGACGATGTAGTTACAGAAGACGACGGCGTTTCACCCTACTCCCACAGCCGGTACGACTTTGCCCCTTTGCTTCAATTCCTCTCGAATTATAGCTTTGATGATAACGATTCAGCATACTCGGACCCAACCGACTCACAACTCGCCGAGTCATATCGATTAGTCCCAGCTTCACTATGGCATTACCTTCTCAAATCCCTAGCATCTTCCCCTTCTTCATCGACCTCGATTTCAACCACCTACGCGCTCGTTGATTGGCTCCATAGGCACAATCTCTGCTTCTCGTATGAATTACTGTACTCGATCTTAATCCACTCGCTCGGACACTCCGAGATGTTATACGAAGCTTTTTTGCTCTCACAGAAACAAACCCTAACTCCATTAACTTACAACGTTCTCATAGGTGCGTGCGCGCGAAACGATGACTTGGAGAAAGCCGTTATCCTGATGAACAAAATGCGCGGGGAGGGTTACCAGTCGGATTCTGTGAACTACAGTTTAATCATTCAATCACTGGTTCGTAACAACCAAATCGACTCGAATTTATTGGATAAGTTATACAAAGAAATGATATCAGATGCAATCGAGCTAGATGTGCAGTTATTGAATGACATAGTTTTAGGATTCACGAAATCAGGCGACGTTGACAGAGCTATGCAGTTTCTAGGTATGATTCAAGGGTATGGACTGACTCCCAAAACCTCCACCGTGGTTTCCATTATCTCAGAGCTGGGCAGTTTGGGGAGAGCTGAAGAGGCCGAAGCTGTTTTTGAAGAGATCAAGGAAGGCGGATTGAGACCTAGAACCAGAGCTTACAATGCTGTGCTAAAAGCATATGTGAAAAACGGTGATCTGAGGGATGCAGAGTGGATAGTGAATGAAATGGAGAGAAATGGTGTTTCTCCAGATGAACATACTTACAGCCTTTTGATTGATGCTTATGGGAACGCAGGCAGGTGGGAGAGTGCAAGAATCGTGTTGAAAGAGATGGAAGCAAACAACGTAAAGCCAAATTCATATGTTTTCAGTAGAATTATAGTGAGTTATCGTGACAGAGGTGAGTGGCAAAGATTGTTTCAAGTTCTAAAGGAGATGCAGAAGTGTGGTGTGAAACCAGATAGACAATTCTACAATGTTATGATTGATACATTTGGTAAGTACAATTGTCTTGATCATGCATTGGGTATATTGGAAAGAATGAGAAATGAAGGTATTGAACCTGATAATGTTACCTGGAACACACTCATCGATTGTCATTGTAAATCTGGAAATCATAACAAAGCAGAGGAACTGTTTGATGAAATGCAGCAAAGAGGGTGTTTGCCTTGTATTGCAACATATAACATCATGATCAACTCATTTGGTGAACAGGAAAGGTGGGAGGGAGTAAGGAGCTTGTTGAGAAAGATGAAAACTCAAAACTTGCAGCCTAATGTCATAACTTATACTACACTGGTTGACATATATGGACAATCCGGAAGGTTCATGGATGCCACTGAATGCTTAGAGGATATGAAAGCTTCTGGCTTGAAGCCGACTTCAACAATTTATAATGCCTTGATTAACGCATATGCTCAAAGGGTATTTTCGTATTTTCATCATTTAGTTTCTTGATCATCCTCACAATTCACAACTCCTCACAATCACATCTTCATGAATCATGATTAAAGTTTGTTTTCTTGAGCAGGGTTTATCTGATGATGCACTGAATGCATTTAGGATGATGAGAAGTGATGGTTTAAAGCCTAGTAATTTAGCTCTTAATGCATTAATAAACGCGTTTTGTGAGGATAGAAGAGATGTTGAAGCCTTTGCAATTTTGAGATCAATGAAGGAAAATGTAAGGGATTGTTTCTTTTTTACTAAACAAGCTTAATGAGTTAAGCACTTAAATACAAATTTGATATATTCGGAATTACAGGACTTAAAACCGGATGTGGTGACATATACCACTCTTATGAAAGCTTTAATTCGCGTGGAGAAATTTGAAGAGGTATTATCGGATTCACAGTGTTAAAAAGTGAAATTTGATTAAAGTTCAAAAACAGCCCCTTTAAAATACAAGATGTTACGTTTCAGGTCCCTGGAGTTTATGAAGAGATGATAATGTCTGGATGCACTCCAGACCGAAAAGCTAGGGCTAAGTTACGGTCTGCGTTGAAGTATATGAGACAACGATTGAAATCACAAACCCTTTAGCCAGGTCACCACTTTGTGGGCCCTACTTTCTGTCTCAACAAATGAGCATACAGATAAGAAAAGCTTGTTACATTTGTAGCATACTTGCACATAACTTGATATTGTAACATCAACATGCAACAAAACAACCATTTTTTGATACACATATTTAAAGTGACTTGAAAAATCATTATTACACAACTTTCTTGTTGTATTATTGATTTCATGGAGTAACGGGAGGCAAATTGGATCTACTGCTACTACTCTTTGGGATCCTGGAACAGAACATAAACATCAACAAAAATGAAGATAGCAAGAACAGTCTGAAATATGTTCTCATCTCCTGCAAACCAATCTCAAGCAACTCTGTTTTTTCTGCATATCTGTTTTTCCTTTCTATTAAATAGCCTTTTAAATAATCATCAATAGAGATCAAGTTATCCACGTTAAAAGGAGCCCTGTCTTCCACAAACTTCATCTTCATCTCATGTGCTCCCATTTCAAACATACTGAAAAATGCAGCAGACCACTCGTTCACAACTCTCTGCAATTTTTTTTAATGTTATAACAAACACCAATTATTAAGTAAATTACAAATTCGGTCCCTGTGTGCTTTACTCAAATCGCAAGTTCAGTCCAGTTTTTTGAAATCTTCCCAAAATCGTCTGCAGATTTGGTCTTTTGTTATGCCATTGGTCCCATGTAAGATGACCTTTTACACAAATAATTGAAAAAAAAAAAAAAATGTTGAAAAGATCACGTAAGGGTAAAAAGGTAATTTTACATGAGTTGGAACTAGTACGGAAACAAAAACCAAAGTTAGTAATGATTTCAAAAAATGGACTGAACTTGCTATTTTGAGTAAAGGTAGAGGGACCATATTTGTAATTTATAACAGGAGCCACGTTGTTAATTATGAAATCAAAATTTTGTACATTGAAGGTAGGTTGATCAATGGGGTTGAACATTTTGAAGCAGTCTTTATAGGATGCTTTTTCATCTCCATATATCTGGCATTAATTAAACGATATATATGTCACAAAATAACCATAAAAAATAGTGTTGTGGAGTTTATAAATTGTAAACCTCGAATGTGAAAGCCATGGGGATGTTTGCAACTTCAAACATGTAATCTGTTGTTGTACCATGTGCTAGATATCTATTAAACACATGTATGTATGATTATTTATTTAAAAAAAAAAAAAAAAAAAAATTTTTTTTTCATATTTTGAAAGAATAACAAAAGGAAAAAATGAATACTAAACTAACCCAACAGATCCTCCCCCTGATCCAACCACACAACGATCTTCACAATGAAGGTGATTCAATGTTTCAAGCATCAACTTCATTTTCTCAGATTGCTCTCCAGGAGGTGTAGTGTTTTTATGATCATAAGGCATAAACAGAGCCTAAAAAAGTTAAAAAAATTAATCATTAAACAAAAAAGTAGAAGACCAAAAGTCAAATATTTTGATTGACCTCCATTCCAGAATGCACGTTGACCCACATATGTGGATGAAATGATCTTGAAAGCTTCCTCATCATTTGAGCTTCAGGCTCACTAAAAGGACCACTCCCTGGATTCTCTTCATTAGGATCATAATCCTAAAATATTTTTTAACTTTTAAGGTTATCATTTGTTTAACTTAAGGTTGTTTCATATCATATAATCATATTAATAATCAAACCTTTTCTTTTTTCCCCCAATCTACACTCCAATTTCTATTGAGATCAACTCCTCTCCCTGAAAAGTAAAAGTTTAAAATCAATAATAAAAAGAAATTACAACATATATTAATATAAAAAAACTAAACTGGAAGAGAAAGACCATTTCTGCGTTCACAAAGCTCTCCTGCTTCAACCTTTTTGCGTCCATTCAAGTTTTCAATTGGCACCACCTGAGAGATACATAGAGATTAACATAATATAATATAATAAATCATGAAATCTGTGAATGTTTTATGTGTTAATGAAAAATATATTAAAAAGAAGAAGAAGAAACCTTTATAATGGTATTCTGGAGGGTTCTATTGAGCAAGAGTGGATTCCTTTTAGGTAAAGTTTGGTCTTCACTTAAGACGTAGAGGATCTTGAGTGCAAGTTCAGATGTAATAAGCTCTCGTGCATGTTGCCCAAAACTCTGGAAGACAAGTAATCATCTGTCAAAAAGATCAGCTACCAATCATAACCTCAGACAACATAACATATTGTCTATATTTCCTTACATGTGATGTGATTTTGTGAATGAACTTACAAGAAGGATTCGGAACTTTGACTTGTCTTCTTCAATCTCATGTATCTTCTGGCAATATGTAACTACGTTGAGTTCAGCCTGGTAGCCCTTGTTTGAACTTGTAAATGTCTCCATCTGTTGGAAAGTCAATGAGTCAAACAAGTATAAATGCTAGAAAAGGGTAAAGAAAGGACACAAAACTCACATGGAATCTATCTTGGTGATGATGAACCAGTTTTTTTATCTCTTTCATTAATGTGGCACTGGAAAAAGGAACAACGATAAACAAGTGTTATTTAATTTGATACTTCAAACAATGTCTATCGTGTATGTATCATACAATCAACGATCGAGAAACAATTGCCCTAGATTGAAAACCAAATGAAACGAAGAGGTGTTGAGTTTTACCTAGTGTGATAAAGATCACGATTGATTGGTGTCATTGAAGGCTGTCGTTGTTGATGCGAGACATAATTAACGCTTCTTCTACAATCAACGATCGAGAAACAAGCATAGAAGAATATCAAACAGAAGGGTAAAATCGTGAAACGGAGACGACGATGACGAATAGGAAAAAGCGCCATCTGAATCATCAAAATTCTAACAGTTTCTGTTTCTCCCCATCAATTGAGGTTACCAATACAGCAAGGTTTTCAACTTCGTGATCAATTGAAGTATGTATGAGAGTTGAATTCGGTTTCAAATGTAAAGAGAAATAGATGGATCTATAAAGAGAAAGACATGGCGAATATTGTCGGGTTAGTTTTCCTTCCAAGAGAATCCGCTAGGTGTGTTTTTCTTTGGAAAACGACTATGGCAAAATCGAATTATTTGGAATATGTCTTCCTGTTTTCGCTATAAAAATGCATTAACCATAGGCCTTAGTTGAGATAATCGTCAATTTCAAACAACGATATCATATTGTCATTGACTTACCACAAAGTTGTTAATGAAAATCTGAAAATAATTCAAGAAATTATCTGTCTACTTGTAAAAAAAGTAAGGTTTTAAAAGTACCAAAAAATAGCAATATACTTTAAACTTAACATACATCAATGCTCTATTGAGAAATCTTCATCTCTTTCTAATTACCTTTATGGTCAGTGGAAAGTCCAAACCCAAAGTAACCGGGGTCCACCATATAATAAATATATTTAAAATAAAAAAGAATTAAAAGCAATAAAAATAGAATAACATTAAAACCATAAACTAAATGTCGATCTACATTTGTTCTCTGCAAGGTGCCATAATTTGAAAACGATTCCTAACATGTTCATTTGCAACTTTGGAAAATGTTTATTTTTCAACCGTACAAATTACACAATCATTTAATAACTTATTTGAAATTCGATTGTTCAAATCCGACTTCGTAATTTTCATCGCAAAAAAACATCTTTCTCTGGTTGCGGTTGTCCCCGGCAAAACCAATGTCAACTTCACTAATCGATAGATCAAAGGAAAAAAAATTAATGCATCTTCGTTTCCAACATTGTTCTAGCAAAGGTCATATATGCTCATCAAGTTAGCAAATCTTTCATTTTGTTCCATATGAGTGGGGTAGATAGAAAGTTTATGCAGAATATTCATCATATCTAAATAGCTAAAATCATTTGGACAGACATCAATAAACTTTCGTAACTTTGATGGGTCAAAGTTACAAAATAAATCAATCAAAATCATAAAATGAATCATGTAGATTCAATCATGTCACACAAATAGGCAATTTGGATCGTATTTTTACTAAAACAATCATCGAACACTTGAATTTGTATATCCAACATGTGTTTCATATATATATATATATATATATATATATATATATATATATATATATATATATATATATATATATATATATATATATATATATATATATATATATATATATATAATAGCATCGATTTTGGATATTGTTATGTTGTCATTGATATCTTGGATTAACATAATTTTCCTCCATGTTTAACATTCGAATGATATTATTCTCATAAAAAAAACGGTATTAAACATAAGTGCATCAAACCTATCACTTTTCATGTGTAAGTGGAACCATTTTCTATGGTCAAAAGAAAATATAAGGGCAACTTCCAAGCGGTGCATTACACTCCACCCTGCTTATGCTTAACATGGTCGATCGTAAGGAATTAAATATTCTTAAAGCCCATGACGAATCCAAAAAAAAAAAAAAAAAAAGAACTCTTATCATTATTATAAGTTTTTATTTTTAAATAAATATATATAATAAAAAAATGGGTCATATGCAGCTGTCAACAAATCTTTTTATCCTTATTTTCGTACATTTTTATCTCTTGGTCAATCACCAACGAATCTTTTTAAAACGTAATAGCTTAAAGTGAAAGAGGAAGAGGTGTCAAAGATCATAACCTACGACTTTTCCTTGAGGTATGAACCAATGATTCTCTTTGTTTTTTTATTACCAGTGTCTATTTTATTTAACGTATACATTTATTTCAAAATGAAGAGAAAAACAAAAATCTAAGTCTCGAACTGAGGACATCTAATAAACAATGTCGCATGTGAGTATATAAGCCAATGAATATATTTGATTATCTATTTATTTGTTAATTTATTTATAATTCATTTAAGAAACAACCGACTATCTCTAATGACATATTTGTTGAGAAACCAAATAAATGAGATTATAGTATCTTAAACGGTTTTTATGGTTAGCATAAATAATGTAAAATTTAAGGTAAATGCTAATTCTCAAGAAACTTCTTAAACATATAAGAAACATCTTCGCATCGAAGAACATCATAAAATATGGATATGATATCTAAGAGCGGCATCGAAGCTGTGTTTCAGGACCCATCCACAGAACAATAATTGAGTTTTACTTGTCTATCTTAGCTATGAGTAAAGAGACATGAAGGATGATGATCTCACAACCCTTCATCTCCTCTTTCTATTTATAATCAGCCCATCTATTTTTTCATTAAGAGGTTGATTGATCTATTGAGCTCGGGTATCGAGGTGGTTGATCTATTGAGCTCGGGTATCGAGGTTATCCTATTAGTTGTTTTAACTGATCATGTATATTAGTGATCTTAAGGTTGATTTCCTTAAGAGTGCCCTCAATATTTGCCTTTTTGGCGACTTCTTCAACAAATTGGTTGTTTTTTAAAGAGTTTTCTAAAAGAATAGAATGTTTGTCAATAGACTGGGTTAACTTGATAGTTAATTTATTTTGTCTTTCAATAACTTCGAAGAATTTTTCCAAATTTTTTTTATCAAGATTGTTTTTAACCATAAAGGCTAAATCGTTTTTAAATTGGTTAAAAGGTATTTTATTTTTTGAAATATCTTCAGAAATATCTTTTGAAATATCAAGATAATGGCTTATTTTTGAAGTTTTTAAGAGACATCTTACAATGATCTGGTTGAGATTATTGCAATGATTTACAATTGTTTGAATACCGGCTTTTCCTGAAGTAAGAGAAAACATATTCTTTCTTTTCAGTATTATCGTCAAGAGTTTTAATTTTGACTGTTTTACCTTTTTTTTATAGAAATGAGGAAAATCAATTTTATTATTCATTTATAATGTCGGTGATTTGTTTGATATTCTGGCGTAGACTATCAATTTTTAAAGACATGTTTCTTATTAAGTTATTATCTTTTCTTTCCGAGTTTTCTCCTATGTGGAGTGAATCCATAGAAATTCTTGGTCTAAGAGTTTCTCCTAAAGCTTTTTTATTTCTAGCTATATTTAAAACCCAAGAGTTTTCTTGAGGATTTATGTCGCAGAATTGTTTATCTTTGACATGGCCTATTTCTGAAAAGACATCATCAAGTTCGATGTACTCGTTGGTCAGGGCATATCCTATAAGATATGTTATGGTGAATGGTTTATCACCTGGACTCATAAGGTCACTTCTTTCAAAGTGATGTATAAAAGATAAGGTTTTATCTATATTTGCAGATTTTAAATCCAGAGCAAACTTTGGATAGACTGAAAACATAAACTTTTGGTAAGCAAGGTTTCCCTTTGCAGCACCTAAGATGCAGTCCTGTCTGTCAGTAATTCTGTTGTCAATTAAGGCCATTTTTATGGGAGAATTTATTCCTGCTTGGAATTAGGATTTTAGCAAAAATTTTACAGCTCCGATATGGACCATTCTAATTTTTGATCTAATCTCAACTGGAATACTTTTTAAGTT